TATCAAATATAAACTAAGAAAAAAGTATTCAAGATAAAACAGAAATAAAAGAAATACCTAGAGTCAAAGAAGTAAAAGAAACAAAACTTTTAATCAATAAAAAAAGACAGCAAAAAGAAGATAATACAGAGGAAAAAACTAATCAAGACTTCACCTCAAATTTAAGACTAACAGAAGTTGCTCTAGAAAACTACAAAACAAATATTAAAAAGGATAAAAAGCTAAAAGAAGATACTGAAATACCAGTAAATAACATACTTTATAATGTCATAAAAAATATTAAAACCATTGACAAAAGAATACAGAATGTGGAAAAAAAAATAACAATAATGCAGAAACAATATTTCTGAATACAATCAAATATAGCCAATGATCACTAAAAAACAGAATTTGTAACAAAAAAAACTCTTTCAAAACAAATATGCCAGCCTATACCTTGTCAGGAGCTTTAAAAGAAGAAAGAGTCAAATATGTCAAGTAGATTGTAGAGAAAAACCACTATATTAAAACAATAAAGAAAGTTTTTAAAAAAGACAATAACTGGATTGAGATCAATTTCAATTGTGAATATAGTAGAAATCAAGCAATGAACAGAATTAGAGAAAAAGAAGGTGACTGGCTCAAACTTATTCCAGAAGAAAGCAGTGAACAGAAAAAAATCACTGAGCAACAATTTAAAGATAACAAAAAGAAGAGAAAAAAATATATAAAGTCAACAAGCCAAATAGAAGCAATTAAAATAGAAGAACCCAATACAATTAATAATGATTCAAACTAATATAACTACTTCATGATTTGGGATTTGCCAGCAAACATCAACTCAGAAGAAATAAAACATATATGCAAAAACATTAGAAAGGCACATGTAATTCAGATCAAAAGATCAAAGTTTAAAGCTTTGGCAGTAATTAGAACAGATTGTCTTATAGAAGAGAACATCTCATGATCATTACCAATCAGAACCCATAAATTAGCAAGGGTAACCAAAGATAATGAGGACTATAATCAATGTGATCAACAAAACCAGTTTACAACAAAGTTAAGAGACCTTTCAGCAAATGCATCAAAGGTGTTGCTTTTATGTTCTCTAAAAAGCAAAGGAGAAAAGTCTATATACATACCATCCAATAAAAATAGTAATCAGAAAAGGTTAGCAACAATTACATTTGTATCCAAAGAAGAAATAGATGCAGCAAAATCAAAACCAATAAGATATAACAATTATCGAATTTTTTGGGATAAAGCAAGAGCAGAAAAAAAAAATTCTAGAGAGGACAAACAAAAATACAGAAATACTAAAGATCTTAAGGTCAATATAAACAAAGAAGAATTTAGAAGCAACATAAAAACTAAGAACACAAA